AAGTAACTAGCTCCCTTCCTTTAAAAAATTCTAGGCATTTTTCTAATCAACACAAACAATACTTACTTTATTATTAATATCTACAAAGTATTCCACATAGGAAATACTTTAATTTCTCAAGTCAGTCGCCTGTTGATGGCTAGTTAGTTGAGTCTTTTCCAGCAATTTACCTTGCTTTTTAAATTTGATGATTCTACCTTGACATATAATTTTGTAGGTGTTTGAAAGTTTGTACCATTTCCTACTTTATTCTTTGAGAAACATCTTAGAGAAAAAACATCATAATTTTATTCTAACTGTATTTTTGTTAAAGCCTCTAATTTTAACACACAATTTATAGATTATTATATAAAGTGTTATGTGAAGCTTTTTATTGAAGTCTTTTAAGAGCTGGCCATGGTTGTACATGTCTGTAATATTAAGTCTAATGATGAACTTCAACTGTCAATTATTGATAAACTAGAAACAGCTTTTTAATACTAATATAGATCAAATTAATAGTTTTATTTCACAACATTGGTTTCTTTCGATTACAGATTATTGAAACTATGCCAATGACTGAGAAAGTTGAAGAACTGCTACATGTCATAGGTCCATTTTATGAAATTGTGGAAGACAAAAAGATTGGCAGGAGTTCTGATTTAACCTCAGGTTAGATACTTTCACCTATTTTTAAATGTAGTCACTAATTTATTAGGCATGCATTAATATTCATCTATCTAATTTTTATTTTTACTTTCACATGCCAGTCCGACTGGAGAAAATCTCTAAGTACTTAGAAGGTAGGAATAATGAAATCCATGTAAAACTTTTATCTATATGCGTATACCAAATGAATTTTGCACGTTTGTATAATAATAAATTGTTATTCCAGGAGTTTTCCTTCCAAGCAAATGTATTGAAATTCCAAAATACAGTAAATCCTTAAAGTTTTCAACCTTTAAGTATTAAGTTAATGCTGGGTACTTCATCTAGCATATACAAAATTGTAACATCTTTGTTTCACTTTTTTTCCTTCAGTATTTATTTATTTATTTATTTATTTATTTATTTATTGTTTTGAGGCAAAGTCTTGCTATATAACCCAAGCTAGTTTTAAACTCATTGTCTTCTTATCATGGTGTTTGAGGTGCTGGTATGCACCACTACCACACCATAATTTTGTTTTGACAAATTATTTTGTGTTGTACTTTATATATTAACAATGCCATGGTTGAATGATTTTTATATCAAATTTTAAAATGGATATTTACAATATCATTTACTGTATTTGATATAGTAAGGTAATTAAGAGATCAGTGAATTCATTTAACATTTTTTATTTTTTTCAGTAAGATATTAAAAGGGGTGGGGGAGATGGCTTAGTAGGATAAGCGCTTGACTGGCAAACGCAAGGATCTGAGTTCAATCCCCGTTCTGCAAAAAAAAAAAAGGTTAAAAGAGTTATGTTTTATTTACTAACAGCAGTTACATAAAATAGAAAATTTTAGGGTAATAATTGTACACATTTGCTCCTTAAATTTTTTTTAAGTAATCCCAACACTCCTTAAACTGAAGCAGGAGGATCACAGTTGAGTTCAAGGTCAGTGCCACAAAATGAGACCCTATGTTCAAAAATAACTTTTGTTTTTAGAGAATCATCGAAGACCACAAGGGTAAATCCAGATGAAAACTGTATATACTTTAATTGAAAATTAGCCTGATGTCCCAGTTTACAAGGTACCTATTAATGACTGACAGAATTTTTTCAGTTTTTCAGAGCAGTAACTTTCCTGCACTATAATGAAAACCTTGTGGTTTATTTCTGTTATGGTAATAAACCATGTGCAGCTAATACTGGGCATAACTATGTACCACACCTTTTTATATCTGATTTTCCTAGAGGAGTCAAATATTAATAATCTTTATGCTTTATGCTTATTCACTTAAGAAAACAAAAGTAAAATGTTTTCTCCTCAAGTACCTGGCTATTTAACTATGATTTAATAATTCTCAAAGCTGACATGAACTAATCTGTGGACAAAACACAATCTGAAATAATGTGAGGCTAGTTGGATTCTTCTTGTCATTTAATGCTATTCAAAGCCAGATGTGATGGTACATGCCTATAATCCTATAAAGAGCCTTTCCTGGTCCTTGTTTTGGTCTGGGAAGTTCATATTTGTAATCCCATAGATAAGTTATTGGAATCCCATCAAGTTAATTCCAATCTACCACACCCAGTGCAACCCACAGTGAGAATAAAGATACTAAGGCATATTTATAGTTATGGGGAGCCAAGGGGTCCCAAGTCCAGACATGGTGATTGCTAAACAGAACAAAGGCCTTGACCCACGGCCAAACCCAGGTTTTATTCAGTCATGAAGGAGGAGTGGCTTGATGATGAATGATTGAGAATGGCAGGAAGTAGGTGAATACTGTTAGCTGGGCTAGGTAGGAGGCTATATTTACCTCTGCAATATGCAGAGAGTAATCTGCAATACACAATTGAGATAGTATCTAATGTTTTGGGATCAGGTGCTTCAGTTCTTTTTTTTTTTTTTTTGGCGGAACTGGGGGTTGAACTCAGACCCTTGTGCTTGCCAGGGAAGCACTTATTCTACTGAGCCATCTTCCCTGGCCCCTGGTGCTTCAGTTCTCATGTGTGATCTTTCAAGCCTTAGGAAGTCTTCGCCTCTATCTTGAGCCTTGAGCCTTGAGCCTCAATCCTAGCTGATGGTGTGGAACATTGGGTGGCTCACATTAAAGAGCAGCAGGTGGGGTTTTCAGGGAAACATGCATGTCATCTTCAAAGACTATCACCAGCACCGGCTAGAACAATGTACATTACTTAAAGCCAGTAGAAGGGATAAGGAAACACCCTATTACATATCAATAAATGGAAATAGGGTTAGGCACAGCCAAAATCAAGACTAACTGCTCTTCTTTCAAGGAGAGTTGTCCAGAGGATCTTCTACAATCAGAGCACTGGGGAGGCTAAGGTAGAAGGATTGCTGTGAGTTTGAGGCTAGTCTGAACTAAATAACAAGACCCTGTCTCCAAAAATGAAAGAATGAATGAAACTGTTCACTGCAGAACTATTTTGGTGCAAAAATTTTATTACTAATTTTTTATTGAGAGATACTTGAATCTCTGTTGGAGTTGTCATATAGTATACTATATCACTTTTTCAAAATTAGAAAATTTGGGATTTCAGAATATCTGGATCTAAGGGTTGTAAGTTAGGAATGGTGGGCCCAAATACAGTTTATTTTTAACCTGAGCCATTCTAATGTAGATAATTTTCTGTTATCTTCAAAAAATACTGCTGAGAGTAACTATGTTTATTATGCCATTTTACATTCATGAAAGCATATCTGTGGGAAATAATATTAGAAGTAAAATTACAAATATTTATAATTACAATCATGAAAATGTTAAATTGTTAGCTGGGTGTGGTGGTGGACACCTATAATCTCAGCAATAGTGAGCAATAAAGAGACTGAGGCAGGAGGATTTCCATGATTTTGAGGCTAGTCAGGGATATGAAGTAAGTTGAAAGCCAGTCTGAACTGCAGAGTGAAACCTTTCCTCAAAAAGACCAAAGAAGGCCAGGGAGATGGCTCAGTAGAATAAGTGCTTCCCTGGCAAGCACAAGGGCCTGAGTTCAATCCCCGGTTCTGCCAATAAAAAAATAAAATGCAACTTTTGGCCTGGGGAGTTGGCTCAGTAGAATAAGAGCTTACGTGGTAAGCACAAGGGCCTGAGTTCAATCCCTGGTTCCACAAAGGAAAAAAAAAATGTGAAATTGTATGTTTTATAAAACCCTTATAATAATAAAAGATTAAATTTTTTAAAAAATGGAATCCAAGTACAATTGATGAAATTGTTGGTAAGACTAAGTATTTTATGTTTTCAGCAGTTAGCAAACATCTCTGGATTTACTATGTATGAAGATCATTTATCTAAACTGTACTTTTGCTATACTTTTAGTTTTCTTTCTTTTTTTTTGGTGGAACCGGGGATTGAACTCAGGCCCTTGCTCTTGCCAGGGAAGCGCTTATTCTACTGAGCCATCTCCCCGGCCTCTAGTTTTCATTTTTGAGTTAGGGTCTGGCTCTACAGTCCAGGTACATGCATATATCACCATACTTGGCTTATGTCTTTACTAGTTTGATTAATGTTCACTTAAAAAGAACCCTTTTCCTGTTTAGAAAGATTTAAGATAGCTTTATTATTTTTGTTATAAATTGATAATTGAAGGATTTTATCTTTATATGTGTAAAGAGACAGAATACTATTAATTACATATGAAATTTTGCCAGTTTAATTCAATATGATTTTACTAGTTATTTGTAAATTATAGCATTATTTCTGTTAGTACCTTAATGATTGAACAGTCATTTCATGTTTTAGATCTTGGTAATGTTCTGACTTCTACTCCAAATGCCAAAACTGTTAATGGGAAAGCTGAAAGCAGTGATAGTGGAGCCGAGTCAGAGGAAGAAGAGGTTCAGGAGGAAGTAAAGGGAAAAGAACAAAGTGATAACG